TTAAAGTCTCTCGTTGCCGGGATGGCAGCAGATCCTCTCACCGATGCGGTCGCAGTAACCGTCTCTACGGAGGGCCTCCACACTGGTGTGGCCGGAAAGGAAATCCTCCGTGTGGGTCCGTCTTATTTTGAAAGAGCGGGAATTTGGCATTGAATGCCGGATTCAATTTTCAGTCAGCACGACTTGGTTGAAATTTATACCCTCAGAGGTCATCGAGCGGTTCTGAGCCAATGGATCTCAGCTATGCTGAGGAAGGAAGAGCTCCGAGCTGTTAAGTAGCGTCTAAAACACCCGACGGTGTTTTGTCTGTGGAAACATCCGTCACCTTAGGGCTGGTTGTCCCCTGCATAAGGGACAATCCAATTCTAATCAGTCTGGTTTGACGCAGGGATACGACAACACCCAGTAGGCGCGGGTCTCCCCGCTGGCGAAGAACTGAGTTATTTAAAATGTTAAAGAAGTAGGGCCCAGGCTCGAAGAGCTCCGTGCGCTTGAACACGGAACGTATTTGCAAGGCAATCTGGCTGGTCGTAAAAGCGACTGCGATGGGCTTTGAAAAGCCATGGAAGATCCTGATAAATTCCGAGGCGCAAGCAATTATGCTCGATGCTTCACAATCGAATGAAGTCAGTTGTATGCTGAGGCACTAATGGAGCGGTTGAGTGATACGGTCACTGTTCAATTAGTGACGAGGACTTGTGCCACTGTGCTGAAGGTCCCTGTGGACCTCGGTGTCAAGTTTATTGGCTTCTGTAGCGTAAACCGCTATTATGGTTTAGACTTGGACTCACAATATAATCTCATCCTTGGTATTGCATGGTTGGAACACAATGAGCCATGGATTAATTGGAGGTCAAAAATCTTGGGCACTACGCGCACGTCCCCTGGCGGAACCTTGATGAGTCATGAAGCCACTTTTGCTAGAAATCAGAAGCGCTTTTGACCAAGCACTTTACCGGGACGGTCGATGTGCTGGATATCGGAGTATTCGAATTGTCGAACACCTAAAATGTAATTTACAAGAGTCCCGAGGATTAAAAATGAGGTGGGACTTAACCCCCTTAGTTAGTAAAAGTGGCATGGTTAGCAAAGGGCCGAGGCATCGGGGGCCTCGCCCTCAGTATTGCACGTGGAGCGGTACGCAATCCACCGATCACTGCTCACGTTTCAAAGTAGTTACTGCATGCAAAGAATGGCATGGTTAGCCAAGGGCCGAGGAATCGCGGGCGAGCCCCAGAAATGCACGTGGAGTGGTTTGAAATCCACTGAGCACTGCTCACTTTCAAAGCAGTTACTGCATGCAAAGAGTGGCATGGTCGGACGAGGTCCGAGGCATCTCGGACAAGGCCCTTCGGATGCGCGTGAAGTAGCACGTAATCCACTGAACGAAGACTGCGGAAATAACAGTCTATCTTTGGACGTTGTCAATACCATCGTGGCTTTGATGGAGCGGGGAGTGGGGACACTGGACGACGCTGAGTGCTTGTTCATACTGATCTCGATGATATGTATAACCTCTAAGAGAGGAGACGTCGACGCCGTATGTTATCTGCAAGACGCAGGGCGTCACACGTGAAACAGGGTGTGATTACCGTAGACGATAGTGCACAGCTATACACCCGCAAGATTTAACGGGAGGGGGGGACAGCGCTGCCCGTGAGGCTATTCCTGCGGTTGATGCTCTTCTTGAGTTGGACGATATGTCCTTCCAAAATTTGGCGTTGCCTTGAAGGCAAGCAATTTAGCCGTGGTGGTCATTATACGACAGAAAGAGGAGATCTACTCGTCGTCGCTACTGGGTGGAGCTGTCCAGGAGAACACCATAACAGTGCTGAACGCACGAAGTAGATCGTCAATCCTGGAGAATCCCTCGGATACGTACTATCTATTGGTAAAGGATTTTTACGTCGTCGTCTCCGAAGATCCGGCGTTGGTTTTACCTCTAAATTGAGGTGTGCGTCATGAGGTAGACCTAACCAAATACTGCGCAACACTCCAAGTACACCTGCCCAAGAAGCAGTATGACGACATTAACGCCTTTTTCCGCGCGAAGCAAGACACAGGAATGGTGCGTTAAAGCAAGTCTCCCATTCGACACCCACGTTCTGTGTTCGGAAGCCGAACGGCCAGTAGCGTGTCGTTCACGCTTACTAAACGCTGCCAGCAATCCGGCACAGCTGCCGATTCCTAGAAAGAATTCTCTCCAGAACAATATGATTGGCTGTACAAAGTACAGTGCACTCAACTTGGTGGATCGGTATTACCAATAGCTCTTGAGGGCGAGTGATATTCTGCTGACAGCGGCTAGCACTTCGAGCTGGATGCTCTGGAAGTGGCTGGTGATATTTTAGAGCAGTCAGTTGCAGCATCGTCTTGTGACGCAATTGTTCAGTCCCACCGGGCGTGTGCACAAACATACTTCAACGACACCTTCGTCCACAGTTGTGCGGGGCACAGGAAGACAGATGTCGAACATCTCATCGTCCGTTTTAGAGCGGTGCTCGAGTTCATGCGGTCGAATAAGCTGTTTGCTAATGTTGATAAGTGCATCTTCGGCGCGGAAGAAATTCCCTTTTTAAGGTGCTTTAATGGGAAGCTTGGCCTTCGAGCAGATCCCGCCAAGGTCAAGGCCACTGTTGACTGGCCGTTTCCAAAGAGTCAGAAGGACTTGCACAAGTGGCTTGACCTCGCCAACTCCTTGCACAAGTATAGCGCAAATTATGCGAAAATGGCACGGCCATTGTCAAATCTCTTTAGGAAGTATACAGAATGGTTTTGGCACACCGAGCATCAAGAGGCTTCTGACAGGGTCAAAGACAGCCTCCAAATACTGGCATTACCAGACCCCAAACGTCTTTTTTAGGGTCGGCCGTGACGCCCCGGACTTTGCTATCGGCAGTGCACTGCTGCAAGCAGACACCGAGGGGCGAGATCGGGTGAATGCGTTCGAATCTCGCCAGGTTAAGGTTGCGGAGAGGAGCTATCCAGTCTACGACAATTAATTACTTGCGATGAAGTGTGTACTTGTCAAGTTCAGGGTGCACCTGCTTATCTCAAAGCCGTTTATGACTCACACAACTCATGCGTCACTAAGCACTGCGTCTCACCTCTCGCAGAAAATGGCTAGGTGGCTCTTATTCTTTGCAGAATAAAACTTCGAGGTGAAGTATGAGCCAGGAAAGCAGAATGATTTGGCTGATGCGTCGTCACGCAGATCGGACTATGAGTTTGCTCATGCCACGACGATGACATCGTCAGTAATGGATTTGATTCGCGCCGCATACGCGAGTGATGGTATGTGTTTAGCGCTGCAACAAACTTTTGAAACGAAAGAGTTTGGAGACTTGGACCTAAAACTGTCGGCGCGATTGCTCGCACGGTTACACCGATATTCGTTGAATAACGGCCTGCTGTATCATAGCACCGATTAGAGGGATACGCCACAAACTAAGTTTCCCACGATGAGTAGTTGAAATACCATAATCACTGTGAGGCCCGCGACATGGTCATCCCAGTTGTGAAAAGACGGGCAGCTCGGCGAGTTGCCGCTATTGGTGGCTCAAGCTGTACAAATGGACAAGAACATATGTGCGCATGTGTGAGACGTGACAAAGAGTGAAACCTTCTCCAGTTGCGGCGGCGCCATTGGCCAGTTTACAAGCATCCCCCAAGTGTTGGCTGTCAACTTTGTGTGTTGGCCTGTCGAAGAAATCGGCAGGCAACATGCGTGTAGTGGTCTTCGTCGACAATTTGAGCAGAATGGCTCATTTTGTAGCAGGGCCGGACACCATCGACGGTGTGGGTACACCGACGCTGTTTGCCGATCGTGACGTTCGACACCGGGGACTTCTGAGTCAATGGTTTCTGACAGAGACCCACGCCTCACTAGGAAGATTTGGTTAACGATCTTTTAGGTGCTGGGCACAAAGTTGACAGTGTCAACAGCGGACCATCCGCAGACGGATGCTCAACCTGAGCGCATGATTCGCATCGCTGAAGACGTTTTTCGCAGCGCTTGCGCTGAGGCGCCGGGGCACTGGGGCTCCAAGCTGCAATTTGTAAAGTTTGCTCCGAATAATGCAGTGCATTTATCTACCGGTTACACGCCGTTCTACGATGAAGGGCTTGTTGATCGTCGCGTCCCGCTGACGCCGCCTTCCCATGTCTCAGAGCTTGGAGCGGGAGGAATAGCTGAACGGCTAGCTGATGACAGCCCCCTCATTATCCGTGGAGAAGTCGATGACTTCCCGTCTACCAGACTAAGTGTCTTACGACATGTTCGCGTTGCGATGGCTGAAATCTAAGACGTGCACGAAGAATATACATACGAAAGAAGCAGAAGAAATCTGAAAAACTCTGAACTCAGAATCCTGTTATTTTTCTAAATGCTAAAAGCCTTCCTACACATGCAGTCTGTGTTGTCTTTAAAACCAACTTCCGTCCACAATTTATTTGGCCTTTTAAGGTCGTGAC